GGTTTGGGGAGGTGGAGGGTGCAAGGACCTCATCTCAGTCATTTTCTATCCTGAGGTCTTCACTGTGGTCAAAAGTCTAAGGACAAAGGGGGCCCACTGAATTGCACACACCCACAGAGTGCACACTGCTGCTCCTGACTTGCACATACCCACAGAGTGCACACTGCTGCTCCTGACTTGCACACGCCCACAGAGTGCACACTGCTCCTCCTTACTTGCACACGCCCACAGAGTGCGCACTGCTGCTTCTGACTTGCACACGCCCACAGAGTGCACACTGCTCCTCCTTACTTGCACACGCCCACAGAGTGCGCACTGCTGCTCCTGACTTGCACACGCCCACAGAGTGCACACTGCTCCTCCTTACTTGCACACGTCCACAGAGTGCGCACTGCTGCTCCTGACTTGCACACACCCACAGAGTGCACACTGCTCCTCCTGACTTGCAGAGATGAACACTCCCAGGTTGAGACTCTGAACGACTTGTTCTAGTTCATTCCCTTGTAACTGAAATCCCAGGATTTCAGCCCAGACTAGCTCTCTCAGTTCACTCTCAAGGCTTTTGTGGTTGTTATTGTTGTTTGTTTCATTTTGTAACAAATGACCTACTGGCAGGTACTGTTTTGATTTCTGTAATAGTAATGCAGAAGGCTGGACTTAGAGAGCAGTTTGGTTAAAGATAAAGTAGAAATTAGATGCAGTCTATGATAGACCTCATGACAATTGTGCCATAGGGCACAATTGAGTTGGCCAGAGAGAAATCAGAGCTGGCTTTACCCGAGAGTCATCATCCCCACACACATGTGAATAATATGACTCATTTCTTATGTATGCTGTGTAAGCGTACTCTCCTAGCTAATGCCTTCTTGCACAGTTCTTCACACACTTATCGTCTATCTCAGCTGCCTGGCTCCTCTGACGCCTGTGGCCGCACAAATGCTGTAATGCAGCACAGCAGTCTTGGGGAATCCCCGTCCTCTGACAAAAGTTTACTTGAGGCCATGGGGTAATGAGTAAGGTGAAAGAGAGGCTATTGCCAATGGTGTCAAAATAGGGCTGATACGTACAAGTGTGGCTTGCTCTTGGTAGTTCGTTATTAGACTTCCAGGAATCCCTTCTGTGTTGGCAGTGTAGTGACACAGTATTCAGGAAACACGAGGAGCTAAGGGCTCTGCTATATACTTGAATTCTTCTTTTGAATAATGTTAATTCCTTTTGCAGTTGCATTGCATAATACCATTTGGTTGGTAATCTTCCCAATCCATCACCAGTCGTCTATTTGTTTTCAGGTTGAAGTTAACTTAGCCTTTGTTTTGCCAAAGGTTTGATTTTACCGTGCATGGTTTGCTGTCAATTTGCTTTTCTTTTCTCCTTTTCTTTTTGAGTTACGAGTAAGGCAGTCTTGAAAACTTAACTTTTAACCTCTGGCAAATGTGGGTTGGCTCTGGTTTGCTGACTCTAGACTGTGTCAAGACAGAAGGACAGGGTGCCAAGAAACTGAATTTGTAGGGAACGTGGTGTTATATTAACTTTATATTTAAATTTTGGCTATTTCTGTGAATAGTGAACAGGTCTCAATCTGGAGATCATATCAAGTCCCATAGGTCCTACAATTCTATGGTTCATTTTTGAAATTAGAAATTAAAATTAACTTTATATAATTATACTGATTTATCAAGATTCCTTGCCATCTGGATCGTTTGAAAATAATTAGTGCGTTTTTCTTCTGCATCTTTTGTTTCACAACTTCTATAACCTGTTAGCCATATTTTGTCACACCTATGTCATCTTTTCATGGAAAATCGAGTTTAGTTTATATTTTTAACTGTAATTCTCAGTTTTTTTTCCCAAGGCAGGGTTTCTCTGTAGCTTTGGAGCCTGTCCTGAAACTAACTCTTGTAGACCAGGCTGACCGTGAACTGAAGTTTGATTTTCTTTCTGTTGCCTCTAAAACACGCTGCTCAGAGCATTCTCACGTCTCTAAGGATGTTCCTATCATAATAAGCTAACCAGAAGTCCTGAAAATCTGCATACATCTCCAAACCACAGAGGGACAGCAAGGAGCTGAAGTGTGCTGGTGAAGCCTTCTGGGAGCTAGATGCCTGGCCTGCCAAGGACTCTTGTACTTGGAAATGACTTTTGCCCATACATGCCTCATCTTTTCTGTTTGTAAAATAAAAGCATCTATTATTTGAGTTCTAAGGATCTTTTCAATATTATTCTGTAACATTGAAGTGTTAAACAGTTTTAAGATAAGAAATGAAGTACTGGGGATTTTGGTGGTAGAATTCTTGCCTATTTTGTGCAAAGCTCTGATTCAGTCCCAGCATCACCAAAGGAAGAAAGAAAAAACAAAACAACAGAATTTGTTCTTATGTAGTAATTTGAAGAAGTGTATTTTTATAAAATTTTATTTCCAAATGTGCCTCAGATATACTTATCGTCATCGTCTTCTTCCTCTTCCTCTTCCTCTTCCTCTTCCTCTTCCTCTTCCTCTTCTTCTTCTTCTTCCTCTTCCTCCTCCTCCTCCTCCTCCTCCTCCTCCTCTTCTTCTTCTCCTCCTTCTCCTTTTCTCCTCCTTCTTCCCCCTCCTTCTCCTCCTACTCCTTTTTCCTCCCTTCTTTTCCTCTTCCTCTTCTTTCTCTTCTCCTTATTCGTCCACTTCTCCTTCTCTTCCTCCTCCTCCTTCTCTTTGGTGGGCAGGGCATGCTGAAAGTTGAACCCAGAACCTTGCTTATGGGAAGAATACATCTATCCACAAAATCACACACAGGACCTCTGCTATTTCTCTCTTCCATGTAAAATTAATAAGTTGGTAGTGTACATTAGCTCCCCTCTCCTCCCTCAGAGGAAAGTCCTGTATTATATTAGTTTTTTTTTCTTCTGAACCATTTTGTTTTCTTTCAACTTTCGACAGCAAAGTTTAAGGGTAAAGTTGGGAATGACCCTGCCTGATGCAGCTGAGTCGTAAGGCACTGGGGCGGGTCGGGGGCCTAGAGCCCTATGCCTGGGCACTGGGGAGGGTTGGGGGCCTAGAGCCCTATGCCTGGGCACTGGGGAGGGTTGGGGGCCTAGAGCCCTATGCCTGGGCACTGGGGGGCAGCTGAGGGCATCTTGAAATGCGGGGGCAGGATGGAGATCTTTGGTGGAGTAGCAAGTGTGCAGCTTACACTGGGTTTTCAGCATGGATCTTGGGAGATCAGGGGANCTTGGGCACTGGGGAGGGTCGGGGGCCTAGAGCCCTATGTCTGGGCACTGGGAGGCAGCTGAGGGCATCTTGAAATGCGGGGGCAGGATGGAGATCTTTGGTGGAGTAGCAAGTGTGCAGCTTACACTGGGTTTTCAGCATGGATCTTGGGAGATCAGGGGATTGTGCTGTGTGACAGCGGTGGAGCTGAGAGTAAGGTGCAACTCTGAGGACTCTGGGAAAAAACAGAGGAAACCAGGGCTTGTTGGAGTTATCTGAGAAGAGTGAGGGGGAGTTAGGTTTGCCTGGGAGAAGGGGCTGAAGTACTCTGTGATCACCTTGTCTTCCGGTTAGAGGAGGCTGGTGGGCCCCGACAGCCATGCAGGATTCCCCAGCCCACATTCTTTCAAATCCTGTCCGGTAGGAGAATCATCCTGTTGCTTTTGCCCATCGGGCCTTCTCTTTTCACCTAGTCCTGAGTGTACTGAGTGTGAAGTCAAGACATTTTCAAAATATATAGGCTGGTTTAATCCAGCACTTTTTATAATCCAGTGTGTTTTAGCAGCTGTTGTTTTTCCATTAGCAATCAGAAGGTCTAAAGAGAGCACAATAACTTACAGAATCTCTGTATTTTCCATCTTTATGTGACTTATATTTTTTATTACTCTTCCCTTTTAAGGACCTTATTATTTTAAAACTATATTTTCAATCTAAAACCGTATATACTCTTTCTCTTCTCTCTTTCAAGCCTATGATGTATATTTTTAAACACACTGTGACTGATTCAGAGGTTTTTTTTTTGTTTGTTTGTTTTTGTCTGAATCTGTCTTTATTGAGTATCTGTAATCTCATTTGGACCACATGAGCCTGTAGACTGCTAAGCGGCATGGCTATGATTTCCACCTCTGCTTTGGAGCTTGCCCTCCCACAAATGGCTGCCAGGAGATGCTTTTCTGTACTGCGGCTGGCAGGAACCCACCACCTAGCTTAGCTCATCAGACACTGGCTGCTCAGGTCTGCAGGCAGCAACCAGGAGACACATCCCAGTATTGTGGCCAGTGTCAGAGACATGAAACTAGGAAATGGCTCTTGACTCCGTTTCTGTGTGTCTAGAACCCTTTCCCAAGCTCTCTCAGGTTTTATGTGGTTGTGGTTGCTGAACGTTTGGGTGCCATTTGTAGGCAGAGTTTCTCTGTGCCTTGGCAACTGTTTCTAAATATCCAGACTTAATATTAAGTATAAATGATTTGACAATAGCTTATGCTTATTACTAACTAGCTCTTACATTTAAATTGACCCATATTTCTTATCTAACTTCTACGACTTGTCTCATGGCTTGTTATCTCATTCTGTACACAACTTGCTTCCTTTGTGTCTGGCTGATGACTCCTCTTACTCTGCCTTCTTTCTTCCAGAGTCCTCTGTCCCTCCCATACTTCCTGTCTAACTACTGGCCATCTTTGTATTAAACCAATCAGAGTGACGAATCTTTACAGTGTACAGAGGATTATTCCACAACAATTAGGGAGTAAGTTTACTGAAGTAAAGTTGGATTTGCAGTGTTTCAAGATGAGGCAAAGCAGAAAAGTAGGGTCCTTGTCTCCTTGACTGGATGGTAATGAACTTTGGATTGGTGACTGCCTGGTTTCCAAGAAGGCACACAGTTTTGTTTGCTGTGCTGTCTTTTATCCTCCTTGTTGAACTGCTTTCTTATTTGTAATACGATGAGCCTTTCAGGATGACTATAAGAAATACTCACGTAAGAAACCACCACCGCTGACTATAAATATGCTCTACCATTTTGATATTGCAGTTGACTCATGTGGACAAGGCAAGCTTCCAGGTGGATGCCTTTGGAACCTCGTTCATTCTTGATGTCCGGCTAAACCAGTAAGTGCTTGCCAAGTTGTCTTCACTGTAATTATGCTATCTAGTGACTTCAAGGTGTTAATGTTGGTGATAATAAGAAATAAATGTGCATTTGAAATTGAATAGCTTTTGTAGATACACAACTTTTACTAATATATAATAGAAGGTAGGAGTTCTTCCAGCATTTTGCACAAGAATCTGTATGACTTGTGCTTCTATGAATGATAGATTATGAAGATATACTTAAGGCAGTAAAAGTCCTTTCTGTCTCTGTATGTGTGTGTTCATGCTCATGTGTACACGGTGTGCGGCTGGGTGTGGAGGATAATGAACAGCCTCAGATGCTCAGTAGATTGGGATGTTTCCAATAAGATAAACACACCACATTACAGCCAGTGAGGGTCTCCGCACATCCACTCACACCACCATACAAGATACCAGAGAAAGATGATAGCAAACATGTAAAGGCACAGGAGAAACAAAAGACATTCTGGGGTCTGGGGCCTTGCCTAACAGAGATTGACCCATCAGAGAATTTCCTCCTGGTGGGATAACACCTTGAACTTCAATTGCCACCTGCTGCTCCTCTGCCATCACCATCAGCAAGGATCTGTGTATGAGAGAAAACAGTATTTATCCTTCTGAGCCCGAGTTACCTTATTCGGTACATTTTTTTTCTTGTTCCATCTACTTATGCAAATTTTATGACTTAATTTTTTTTTACAACCTAGTAATGTTGTGTATGTGTGCCATAGTTTTTCTTGCCTATTCATCTCTTGGTAGTCGTTGAGGTTGATTTTATTCTCTAGCTAGTGCGAATAGAGCAACAGTAGACATGAATGTGCACACGTGTTTGTAGTAGGGTGTACCGTTTGTTAGTAACTATTTTCTTTATGCTAAAAAACCACAATAATGTGATAGTTTTTTTCTTTTTCATTTTTAATGTAGATTTTTTTTCTTGTGCAATTTAATGCTTTTGGTTTGACTTACCTTTATGGCTCTATTGGTTTAGGAAGAAGGAAGGTGGAAATTGAATATGCTTTGAAAAACTTTGGACTGCTCTCTCATAAAGCAATTCTAGGCCTGTGGAACAAGTCAAAAAATTATTTTTAACTAAGGGATAATTAAGTCTGTATGTAGCTGGATATCAGTTGCAGAATAGATCCAATAATACTTATTTTAAGATGGGAATTGAAGAAAATGAATTATTACATAATATTCCTTCAAAATATTCAGCAAACCAGATTTTCTATAACCAGATTATACAAGAGTTCATTCACCCTTTGGGTTGTAGTTCTGTGGAAGGGGTTTAAAAATACAGAAAGGCTAAAAGCGAGCAGTACAGCCAGTTCCTGCTTTGTCAGTTATTAAGTGTGGGAGGTAGTTTCCTTCATGGGTCATGGCTATGAAATTTCACTCTTAGGACAGATACATTAATAACACCAAACGTATTATTTGCTCTGCTCATATTGGTTCTGAGGTTACACGGACCCTTCCAAAGGTCAGCAGAGGGTGCTGTATTTTACTGTGAAACATTCCTTAGAAAGAAGAGGGCTCGAAAGGACATCTAAATCATATTATCTGAGCTACTCAGCCCACGTCTTTTCCTGTGAGCCACTCCGTTGTTATTCAGTAAACGAATAATTAAATGCCTCAGGGAGAGGGAGGGGTAGTGGGGAGGTTTTCTCTTCAGCTCCCCGAGCTTTAATGACGTCACCTGGCAAACCTGTCAAAGTAGCGTGCTTTCTTATCTCTTTATTTATTGTGGGTCATCTTTTTTATTTCGATAACATCAAAATAATTTTTCTGTTACTCTGTGATTCTTATTCCAATCTTTTTATTCCCTGTTTCGCAGTGGGGGATGGCACCCAGAACTCAGCATGTGGGTTAACCATGCAGAATGGGAGGTGGTGTGGGTGGGAATGGGGAGGCTGAGGCAAGGTCAGGGAAAGAGCACTTAGGTTCAGGTTCTGTTGAAATGGGCAAGTGCAGTCTTGTATTTGGGGACCTCACTTGACATTTCGTCAACCTTTGCCTGCTTTCCACTGGGACCTTGAATTTCTGGGAAAATCAGAGTCCTGGTAGATTAAAAGGCAGGATATGAATTCAACTGGACCCAAAAGCTAGTTCTGCAAGTCCTCATTTATTTGACTATGCTCCACTTATAAAGTAGTTAATGCCGATGATTAAAATAAATGCTGAGGATAAGAGTATAATTAAATGATGATGTTTTATGATAATAATAAATAGCAGACCTTTCACTGTTATTAGTAAATCAATCAATGACTATTTTGCTCTTCTAGTGATTCATTATTTGAATACTTATTTATATATACATTTACTATTGTGTAGAAGACAAATCTTTGTTGAAAAACTTAAGATCCTTATTTTCATTTTACATATGTACACAAGCATGCATGCACATGTATATTTACAGACATGTACATATATACATATAGACATGCTTAGCTTATATACGTGCAGCTAGACCTATACACACATTTGTAATTCCCTGGGTATTGCTGAGGGTTCTTCTGGAACCTGAGAGCTTGGGAGACCAGAAGAAGGTAAGTGCTTTAATTTTGAAGAGCTTGCCTTCTGGCCAGAAAGGCCATAAACTTGTTAAATAAGGTAATGTCAGAGAGTGGCCTTATTGTTGGTGGAGCCCTGATATTGGGATGGAGGTGATAGTTAACAGTTGCTGTTAGAACATGTCATCTATATGAAGGGTGGTATTAAATGTAAGGGCCCCCAAACAGAAGGACCAACAGCGAAAGTGGAGCCAAGAATTATAAGCCTAGCATGGTTGAGAGAAGGAAGGACAGCTGAAGGCCGTGAAACTGGGAGTCAATGTGTCATCAGATGAGGTCAAAAACAAAAAGGAGCCCAACTATCTGGGGCCTCTTAGACCACAGAAAGAAGTTGCAAAGTGTGGGTTATCGATTTCTTTATCCTTTGTTGCGTTATTGACTTATTCCCTCATTGGCTTGTGATAATTCAGTTTCAGTTATTGGATATTGAAATTTTAGAGTGATGTCTCTGAAGACATACAGGGTGTGCTGGTTATTTCTTTACTGATTTCTTGTCAACTTGACACAAACTAGAGACTCCTGTGGAGAAGGAGCCTCGGTTAGGAATCGTGTCTATGAGACTGGCCCGTGGGAAGCTCTGTAGGGCACTTCCGTGATTAATGATTGCTGTGGGAGGGTTCGGTCAACTGTGGGCAGCGCCACTCTTGGCCGTGTAGACTTGAGCCATCTAAGAGGGCAAGCTGGGCGCGCCACAGGCTTTAAGGTGGACAGTGGCGTTTCTCCGCGTCTCTGCTTCAGTTCCGGCCCTGGCCTCCCTCAGTGATGGACCGGGATGTGGATGTGTAAGCCAAATGAACCCTTCCCCCTTCAAGTTGCTTTTGGTCTGTGTCTCACCCCTGCAACAAGCAAACAAACTGACACGCAGGGTTGTCACCAGGCTTTTCATTGTCCCCTTGTAAAGAGGGCAACTTGGAAAAAAATAATTTCCCAAAGTTGGCTTAGAATTAAGTAAAAGGAAAACACATAAAACACGAAAAATTTACTTGTCAAGTATTTAAGTCTTAAAAAAGATCCCAGAGATCTGGAGTTGGTGAAGCATGCCCGTAACCCCAGCACTGGAGGGGCTGAGGCAGGAAGATCCCGAGTGCACAGCCAGCCTGAACTGAACAGTGAGATCAAGGAGAGACGTTGATCCCAGAAAATCCTTTCCTATAGTGCTCAGGATAAAATACAAAGACATTGAAATGTGTGTGTGTGTGTGTGTGTGTGTGTGTGTGTGTGTGTATGACTTTAAATATTGTATCAGAATAATTTAGGTAACTGTGAATGTGTCTGTGCTTAGTTCTGAGTAGCTTTATTTAGTCTCAGATCTTTTGGTAATGGGACTATCTGTAGTACTCACTGGGCAGAATGTGATTACTTACCAGGGCTAGTCTAATCTTAACAACACTTAAAGTAATAGAAGTGCCTTTAGGTGAGTATAATGATTATCTTAAGGTGGATTTTATTGTTCATAAAATTTACTCATTTCAAATGTACTATTCAATGATATTTAAAGTAAGTTTACCTAGTGATACAATAGTCATTGCTAACCAAGATTTGTTTGTTTGTTTTCTTTTTTGGAGACAGGGTTGTCTCAGACTGTCTCAAACTTGCTCTGTAGTCTTGGTTGGCCTCTAACTTGTGATCCTCCTGCCTCTGCCTACACAGTGCAGGGATTACAGGTGTCTCCTACTGTGCCCCATACACTGTAAATCAGTTATAAAAAACATCTGAATTCCTCTGATAAGATTCTTTTCCCCATTTAGATTTAATTTCCATTTCTGTCTATAGCTCCTAGTCAATAACTAATTTACTTTTTCTTTATAAATCCCCCCCCCATGTATGATATGTGTTCCTTGCCTTATTTCCTTTAGTTGGCAGGCATTAACAGTTCATGTAGGATGTAGCATGTCCTAGTAGTTCATTCCAGCTCTTTTGTTTTTGCTTTGCATGCGTCTGTGTGGGGTTTCTGTGCATGCATCTATCCCTCCCTCTCTGTGCATGTGTGCTGTGTCTGTGTGTAGTTCACCCTCCCTTCTCTGTGCATGTGTGCTGTGTCTATGTATTGTTCACCCTCCCTTCTCTCTCTGTGCATGTGTGCTGTGTCTATGTATTGTTCACCCTCCCTTCTCTCTCTGTGCATGTGTGCTGTGTCTCTGTGTAGTTCATCCTCCCTTCTCTCTCTGTGCATGTGTGCTGTGTCTATGTATTGTTCACCCTCCCTTCTCTCTCTGTGCATGTGTGCTGTGTCTCTGTGTAGTTCATCCTCCCTTCTCTCTCTGTGCATGTGTGCTGTGTCTATGTGTAGTTCATTCTTTTTGTTACTTTGGACATTTTCATGCACAACTTTATAGTTTTCTTTTAATAGATATTCAAAAGTAATATTGTTGAGTCATACGGTACCTTTCTTGTTTAATTGCTCAACTGTTTCCCTTAGAGGACTTTTGA